GACAAAAAAAAAAGGCAACAAAATTCTTTGTAACACCAAAAGTGGACCGAAGGTAAAAATTATGGCAGCATTCACCAACTTAAAAAAGCAGACCTTCCACAAGAATTGCAGAAGATTACGAAAACGTCTGGAGGCCGCGGTTGAAACCAATGGTGATTTTATTGAATAAATTTCACTCAATCAGTTATGAGCCATGCCTGATACACGCTTAGGCGATCATGTATCTTTCAATATATGACTGACGAGGCAGATTTTCCCGCAGTAGGTTGCCATTTCTTTCTGCCGTCATCTAAGGCTATAGAACTATTGTCATTAGAAAAAAAATTGATGAATAATGAATTTTTAAAAGAATTGTTTTCATTTTTTTTATATTTTAATTATAATAATTTATTCAGTCAGTTATGTGCCATGGGTGACGCACGCTTAGGTGGTCATGTATCTTTCAATACATGACTGACGAGGCAGATTTTTTCCCGCAGTAGGTTGCCATTTCTTTCTGCAGTCGTCCAAGGCTATAGAACTATTGTCACCAGGAAAAAAAATTGATGAATAATGAATTTTTAAAAGAAGTGTTTTCATTTTTTTATATTTTAATTATAATAATTTATTCAGTCAGTTATGTGCCATGGGTGACGCACGCTTAGGTGGTCATGTATCTTTCGATACATGACTGACGAGGCAGATTTTTCCCGCAGTATGTTGTCATTTCTTCCTGCGGTTATCCAAGGATATAGAACTATTTATCCATAGTGGAAGAAGAAGAGGATTCATACCTTTGCCAAGGGTATTTGCACGTAAGTGAATGTAATAGATTAAACTGGTATCGGCTCTCCGATTTCTCAATCCGAGCCGCTATCCAAGTAATGGGTAGCAGTTAGGTTCTATCTATCTTAGTCTGCAGGAATCTATCTATCTATCTATCTATCTATCTATCTATCTATCTATCTATCTATCTCTCCTAGTCTGTACAAATCTATCTATCTCTCCTAGTCTGTACGAATCTATCTATACTAGTCTGTACGAATCTATCTATCTATCTATCTATCTATCTATCTATCTATCTATCTATCTATCTATCTTAGTCTGCGATCATTATATTTACCTTCCATCTATCTATCTATCTATCTATCTATCTTTATCTATACGAGTACGAATCTATCTATCTATCTATCTATCTATCTATCTATCTATCTATCTATCTATCTATCTATCTTAGTCTGCGATCATTATATTTACCTTTCTATCTATCTATCTATCTATCTATCTATCTATCTATCTATCTATCTATCCTTGTCTGTACGAATCTATCTATCTATCTATCTATCTATCTATCTATCTTAGTCTGCGATCATTATATCTACCTTTCCATCTATCTATCTATCTATCTATCTATCTATCTATCTATCTATCCTTGTCTGTACGAATCTATCTATCTATCTATCTATCTATCTATCTACACGCATGAACGCCCTCGTTCCGTCCTACGCATGGAAACACACACGAACACGCACGCACGCACACACACACACACACACACACACACATATATATATATATATATATATATATATATATATATATATATATATTAATTTCGGTTTCGTAAGTTCTATTGAATTAATCAGTATACAGAACATTTTCTACCTGCCATCAGCATGACTGATGCTAACCTCCAGGACAGCAAATCTTTGCGCCTTTTTAGGCTCACCGGAATGAAATAGAAAGATTAATATTGAATCATTTGCTGCAAGGAAAGTTGGTTTACTGTGTCATGCCAAACAATTTTTCTTGTACATTTATAAATCTACCATTTGTCCGTGCATTGAATATCTGCTCTAGTGTTTCTTCCTGCTATAGATCTCAAGATGCAATGCCAGTTGTCAACTCCTGTCTCTTTGAAACCTGTTCTTTCATCACCGTCTCGTTTTCTCTCACTCTCAGTAACCTTTTTTCCATCTAAGGAACTTTTACTACTTTGCTCAGAACGAATAATAAAACAAAAAGAGACTACATTGCATTGAAATTTTTGAAGTTCAAATCTAACCGGAAAGCATGAAGCCAGAAGTGAGTTTGTATTTATTTATCTCCAGTTACGTAGAGCATTCAGAGTCACTCGTAGCTTCCGTGTACTGTTATATAAAATCAAAAGAAGAATCTGCAATGTTATTAGTCCTGATCTGGCATCTCTGATTCAGTCACTTTCTCTCCGCCTTAACGTAGTTTTCCTGTGCTTTTTCTATCAATATTTTCCTGGTAATTTTTCTCATGAACTTTCACCTATGATACCTTGACTTTATGATTTTAAGCGCGGTAAAAGAATACTGAGCTGTTACGTGACATCTGTCCTTCTTTACGGCAGCGAATGTTGGACGATTTCCTCAAAGATGAAGAAGAGACTCCAGGCGAAAGATATGTGGTTCTATAGAAGGATGCTTAAGATATCATGGACCGAGCGTGTGAGCAACGATGAGGTCTTACAGGGGATGCAAACAAGGAGGAGGTATATACTTAACATCAGGAAGAGGTAGCTGAAGTTTCTAGGTCACATAAAGAGGAAGGAGGGCCTGGAGAATCTGATACTCACGGGTCGAATAGAGAGAAAGAGAGATAAGGGAAAACAACGTGTGACATACCTAGGAGACTTAGGATGACAGAACGTGGTCTGGGGGAGGAAGCAGAAGGAAGGAACTTGCAAGAAATAGGAGGAGGTGGAGAGTCATGATCGCCTAAGTCCTGAAAGAACATGACACATAAAAAGAAGAAAATACTAGATTGGCGCTAAATTCCCATCATTTTAAAGTTGAAATGGTTCGATGTAACCGTAAGTTCTATGTTAACAGTTTCTTCTCTCGCACTTCTCGTTTGTGGAAGCCAATTCTGGCTTCTTGCTTTCCAGTCAACTTTGATTTTAAAAAATTTTAATGCAATGTCAATGGTTAATATTTTTTTATCACAATATTCTGTCACACTCCGTTACAGTTGGCGTCTTGGTGGCTTTATTACCTTCCCTGGAATGAAATAATTCAAAGAAAAATATACAGATAACTAGAAAAGTGTGTGATATATGAGTTTTCTTAGTGCACAAATCTACGTTACACACACACACACACACATATATATATATATATACATATATATGTGTGTGTATGTGTGTGTGTGTGCGTATGCGCATGTACACGGGGTTCAGTCTTTGTGCGTGTGTATGTGTGCGTTCGTGTGTGTACGCGCGCGTGTGTGTATGTTTGTACGTGTGTGCGCGTTGTGCTTATGCGTTTGTGTGTCCATGTGTGTAGGCGCGTGCGTGTCTGTGTGTATGTGCGCATGTCGCTGCGTGTGTGTGTGTGTCGGCGTGCGTGTCCGGTTATGTGTGTGTATGCGTGTGTATTTGTGTGCGCGTGTCTGCATCCGTGTGTTCGTGTGGATGTGCGTGTATATGTGCGTGTGTTCGTGTGTGTGTGTGTGTGTGTGTGTGTGTGTGTGTGTGTGTGTGTGTGTGTGTGTGTGTGTGTGTGTGTGTGTGTGTGTGTGTCTGTGTGTCTGTGAGCGTGTCTATGTCCGTGTGCGTGTGCGTGTGTACTCTAAACAGACAGATCTTTAATTCTTTTCTTCTCTTTGATCATCCGGAAATAAGGTGTGAATGTTTTTATATTAAATCCATTTCCGGTATAACAAATCAAATACTTTCCCCCACCCCCGAATTACTCTTCGCCGCCTTCCCCTTCTTCTTGTCCCCACTCCTCCTTCTCCTCCTCCTCCTCCTCCTCAAACCTCCTCCTCCTCCTCAAACCTCCTCCTTCCCTTATTCTCCATTCTCTCACACCCCCCACGCGACTGGCCTTTCATAATTTTCTTTTCTTCTCTATTTATAATTACTAATACTGCTATATCTCTGATATTCTCGACTTATTCTCTTTTTTATCTTATCTCTCTCACCTGTCCCTCCTATCTCCCCTTCTCTCTCTCTCTCTCTCTTTCTCTCTCTCTCTATCCTTCATTTGTCCTCCCCCTTTCTCGTTTATTTCCTTTCTTTTCCTTTCGCCAGCAAACTTTGATTTTGCCTTATTTGCAACACGTCTCTTTACGGAAGAACGCCAAATCTATTTGAAACGAGAAGTCTAAGAGAGATAATAAAATGAAAGGTGTAGAAATCCGAAATATTTTAATCAAGAAAGACAAGCAAGAAAAATAGAACGAGAATCGGGTTAATCTTCGGGATTAAAGATAATGATAGGAACGAGGAAGGAAAGAAATGAAAGAAATAAACGTGGTAGGAAAATAAATCTTACAGCAAATGAAATACAACAAACTGAAGAAGAAAAATCACATACAGAATTGGTCGAACAAGATTCGACGAAAAATGGCGGAAAAATAAAAACGAAGCAGGAAAGATAGAATATATTGTAAAAAGAAATCTTCTTCGTTTTAGGAGCAGATAAAGACGAAGTAAAGGAAGGATGAGGAAGACAAAAATAGAAGCCAGAGAGGCGGAGGAACAGAAGAGGATTACAAAAAGAAGAAGAAGAAGAGAAAAAAATGTAGAGTAAGAAAAAGCAATGCGAAAAAAAAAAAGAAGAGAAAACTACCTTCGTCGAGTTTTCATGAGAAGAAGAAGAAGAAGAAGAAGAAGAAGAAGAAGAAGGAGGAGGAGGAGGAGGAGAAGAAGAAGAAGAAGAAGAAGAAGAAGAAGAAGAAATACGGGATAACGTGAATAATAATAATAATAATTATAATAATAGATTTGATTTTTTACGGTTTATCAAGTTTTTGCAGCTTATTTACAACCAGAATATACTTTTGCATTGGAAGAATATTTTTAGACAGAATAATGCTTTTAATTATGCATGCCTTGCTAATTAACCCATAGCTAGGGGAGAAGAGTTATATTAATACCCTTCCCGATGGTATTTGTGCGTAAGGGAATATAAAGTACATATATTTGATGTCGGCTCTCTGATTTTCAATTCGGTACCGTTATCCATTCCACCCCACACGCATCCATGCTTACAGCACCTGATATTGCCAGGCGGTCTCCTACCAAGGTACTGATTACGCTCAACGTTGTTTAACTACGATCATCGTACGGAAACCGGTTGTTTCAATGCGATGTAGCCGTAAGCAAAAGGACAAAGGAGGAGGAGGAGCTGGAACAGAAAAGGAAGAGAGTGTGGTTAATAAGTACGAATGAAACGTTAAAAAGAAAGAAATAATTTAAGAAGAAGAAGAAGAAGAAGCAAGTGCGAGAGAAGAAAGAGAGTCTGGTTAATAAGTACGAATGAAACGTTAAAAAGAAAGAAATAATTTAAGAAGAAGAAGAAGAAGAAGAAGAAGAAACAGGGAGAGAAGGAAAGAGTCTGGTTAATAAGTACAGATAAACGTTAAAAAGAAAGAAATAATTTAAGAAGAAGAAGAAGAAGCAAGAGGAGAGAAGGAAATGGAAACGTTAAAAAGAAAAAAAACAATTTAAGAAGGATTAAGAGGAAAACCTGAAGAAAAAAAAGAAAAGGAAGAAAAAGAAGAATAGCAAGAAAAAGAAAAAAGAAGAAAAAGAAAGGAGAAAAAACAGAAGAAGAAAAAGGGAAAAGAAGACGAAAAAAGGATAAAATAAAGAAAGAAAAAACGAAGAGCAACAACAATAACAACAACTGGAGGAGGAGGAGCAAGAGAAGGAAATGGAGGAAGATGATCATGAAGAATTTGAAAAAAAATAGCAATATACAGAATTCACCCAATTCTTGTGAGTATACAAAGATTATAATGAATTTTACAAGTTAATGAATACACTGGGTTACACTCCCATGAAAATCAGATGTGGCGACAGCAGTTAACTAAATTCAAGACGCCATCACAGGAAGAACGATAAAATCAAATATTACGCCAGGAAAGACACACCTTTTCTGAACAGAAGCCTCAAGAAAAAAAATATGTCTGCCATGTTTTTTCTTTATAAGAGTCAGAGAAGCCCAAGAATGGAGTATTGCTGTCATGTCTGGGCTAATGCTGCCCAGCCTTCACTCAAAAGCGATTACGCGGCCTTGTGGGCGATGAATTATTTTTTAATATGCAACCCCTATTAAACCGAAAATAAACCTCGCTCGCCTCGCACTAGTCTATTGCTCTTACTATGGCAAATGTTCAAGCGAGCTACGTTCCTTAATTCCGCTGGTCCACAGTTAGCATCCACCATTCCACAAAGATGGCGTCAAATCATCCTTATTCCCTTCGTCTTCCTTTGGTAAGGAGGAAGTTTCATTCAGACAGGTTCTTCCGAGGAAATGTTAACCATTTCCAGTCTAGGGTAAGTCATTATCTCCCTAACATATTCTCATATCCATTCTGCTCACTCATTCTTGTCTCGTGTATTCTTGACCGGGAGATCAGACATTCTGAGGAGCGTGGAACCACATCTTACTTGCTGTTCTTCCTCGGCTCACCATGACCCAGGTTGGTAGCACAATACATTTTCTAGCAGAATGACCAATAATACATTTTATAACAGAATAACCAAAAATATATTTTATAGCAGAACAACCAACAATACATTTTATAACGAATTTATATGAATTTTATAGCAAATTGACCAACAATACATTTTATAACAGAATGACCAGCAATACATTTTATAGCAGAATAACCAACAATACATTTCATAACAGAATAACCAACAATACATTTTATAGCAAAATAACCAACAATACATTTTATAACGGAATGAACAATACATTTTATAGCAGAAATACCAACAATACATTTTATAGCAGAATCAGCAACAATACAATTTATACCAGAATAACCAACAATACAACTTATAACAGAATAACCAACAATATATTTTATAGCAGAATGACCAACAAAACTTTTTATCTGTAGCTGAACGCATGTAATTGCATTAAAAATATATTTAATTGAAGACATAAGATAGTGTTCAAAATATTTCAATTTCGGCATTAAATAACCTATAGACATTGATATGGTGCTGAACAAAACCAAGCAAACAAAAATCCACCATCCTTCATTTCTTACGCTCTTAAAATAATCTCACTCAGTAACACTCTGCCTTGAGTGGCTCTTCTATTTGCGGAACTAAACTAAAGATATGAGGTGTTAATATCATTCTCTCTCTCTCTCTCTCTCTCTCTCTCTCTCTCTCTCTCTTTTGATACCGTTTTTAATTTGATAGTCCCTCAGCAATTTTTATTGTTTTAATTTTCATTTTAAATTATTTTTTTAGAATTTACATTAAATCCAAACATATGAAACTCTGAAGATGATTCCACCTGTAATGCTGGCCTATCAATTGGTCTCGAACACCGGTATGCACTAGACAATTTCAACCGATTGGTAGAGTCGTTCGAATAAAAGTATTTCAATAAGGAAAAATCCTATGACACTCGTTTTCTGATATAAATTAAAAAAAAAAGTGTGACTTGACAAAAGAAAAGTATGATTATGATTGAGATACATGCAAGGAAAGCGAAGGAGATAGATAGATAGATGAATGAT